GGTATTAAAAAAAAAAAAAACATGAAATAAATGAAAATAAAACAAATGGCTCACCTTTTCTCAGCGCGGACTCAGCAAAGTCTCCCTCTGCGCTGCCGCGACTTCCTCCCGGAGACATGCCGTAGAGAATTATTGAATCCAATGATTCTGTATGGCATACTGTGACCGCACTGCGCGTATGTGCATGACGTCTAGGTATCTTACGGTACGAGAGCCAAGAAGTAAGATTACCAGCACTCATACCTAGAGGACTTGGAGGGGTGACTTGAAACCGTGCTTCCTAGCCTTCTAATTAGAGAATAAAGAGTTTGGGGGGTCGGAACTGCAGACACTATTATAACTTCAATAAGGTAAAGTTGTTAAGGTGTCTATAGTGTTCCTTTAAACTACACTGGCTCAATCTAAATATTCTACACCTTAGCAATATTCCAATCTTGCATCATTTAGTTAAAATTTTCCAAATCCAGTTAGCAACTCACAACAAGTCACTGCTTAGTGAGTAAACCCTGTCATTTTTTCTAAATCTTAAGCATCAGTGTGAAAGAATTGAAATTCCTGCATTTGATCGTTCGGAAGACCTGCAAATATTCAGTAACAGCCATATTTACAGTTAGTTAACCATTTCTGAATGTAGATCTGATCCAAGTACTATAACAGTACAAAAATCAAGTGTTTATTACACACCTAACTCTGACCAGCATACACTGTGTTAGAAAAGTACGTTTTTTCAGAAAATAACGCGAAATAAGCTTTGGGATCTGGCGCATGCTATTGTAAGTATAGACAATAGTCTCAGATTTGTGCAGAACACACTTCATTCTGAAAGAATTGCTAAGCACACCAAAATCTTTCAGGTCATTGGCTACTGATACTTTTAAGGATCAAATACAAATAATTGATTGTGACTGGATTGTGTTTGTTAAGTGAGGGTTAAAATCCAATAATACGATTGGGTTTGGATTTCAAGGTTTCAAGTATCTTGCAATTGATCTAAAGCTGGTACATTGAAATTGTTGTGGGCCGTGCATGTTTTCACTGGCATACCATAGTGTTGTTGTCTATATGACATACACTCTCTCTATTTGCATGACAGAGAAAATGGAAATTTCAATTAGTTGTTAGGGAAGAATAGACTTCAGATTGCTTTAACTCCAATGTTGTGGCACAGAAGGTGAATTAGATGTTGAAAAGAAATTAATCTGTTTTGTGTTCGAAGATGCTTACTTCGTGGGTCCATGGCACTACAGATTAAACTCTTTATAGTAAGATGCTTGATAGACAAACCCAAATAAAATAAGAGATACTTATGGCCCTCCAAGGGACCCCAACTAAACATGTATTTTCTAATAGAACAGGGATTAATCTCCGTTTTGAGTTTGGGAAATTAGTATATTAAAAAACCTTTTAATATTGTGCAGGGCAGAAATATTTGGCTTGTCCAAATTTGGACAAAAATACATTTAGTTTTGTCTAAAATTAATTTAGTCAATTAGTCGATTTTGTTTTTGTTGAAATTCATCCAATATTTTCGAATCAAATTTCCATTCGAAAAAATGGAATTCTGAGATCGCCAGCAAATCTTTCAGTGGTTTAAAAAGTAGAAAGTTCCTAATTTGTTACTCTTATGTTGGATTGACATATTTAGGGAGGGAGCTGTGTTTAGAAGACAGCACCCTGTTTTGGTATCCTTAAATATGTCAATCCCACATAAAGATACCAAATTAGGGAGCTATCTAATAAGCAGCTGAAAGATCGAAATTAAGAAAAGCCATTTTTTTTTACATTTCAGTCTTTCAGTTTTTTGTAGATAGCTCCCTACTCTTTTACCCTTATTTGGGATTGCCATATTTAAAAATGTCAAATTAGGGACTATTGACTATTAACAGCTAGTGGTACCCTTAAATATGGTAATCCGACGTAAGGGTACAAACGTCATGCATTATTTACTAGAATGAACAAATCGAACGAAATTTTTCATTTTGTGCGATTCGTTCAATTTTCTTTTGTTTTGAATTTGGACAAACAAGCGTATTTTTGTCCCAATTTGCGATTCTTTCTAAAACAAATGTCCAAGTCTATAAGCTATACAACTCTATATCAAATACTCAGCAGTCTTAGCTGTGACGAGTGATATTTTTACGAGTCTTGGCTCCCTGAATTATGTCCACCAACCTAATTATAGGAACAAGTGAAACGTCACTTTCAGTGTTTATATAGGATATGTAGAACATGAGGAGTTTGAAGACAATAAAATCACGTTTTCTGTTACTACGGATACTTACATGGCTATTTACTGAAGGGAGAATTACTGGGAATTCAAAGTTAATTTAAAATTTATGTCCAAAGCAGCTGAGCTGGAAAAATTCAGTCAGCTATGATTCCAGTTTGGCTACTTTGGCCCTAAATTCACTTTGAAAAGTCTCACCTTCAGAATCCTGTCTATAACATACCAGGTTGGACTTCATACCGTGACGAGCCATCCTGTAGCTATCCAGTTGTTGTTACAACGCTTACAATTTTTCTTCCAGGCAATGGTCCCATACTTTATAAATCTCTAAAGTCCATCTAGATTGAAATTCAACTTAGACAAATGCTGGACTCTCTACATCAACAGCAACTAATGTGCGGCACGTTGCCTATTAATGCTATAATGCATGAGATCCATGGAATAATAGATATTTAGCTTATAACACTTCACGTTCTATGTACCGTGTGGCATACACAATACAGGCCTCAATTTAATATTGTTGGATAAACGTTTAAAATGATTTCATATTATGAAAAACATTTTAATTTTGTAACATTTTGATATTTTTTGAAATATTGATATATATTTTTTATATATGATTTATATTTTGATATTTTAATATGTTGAAATTAGTTTAAAAGTGTATCCAAAATATTAAATCATATGAAAAGCTTATTGAATTATATTAAATCGAGGCCATAGATTGAAAGCTAGACAGACAGTAGTACTAATCTCCGTATATCGGAAATATACCATCTCGGAATATTGACACTCACCTGCTCTATCTTGGAGTATTAAAACATGGGTGACCTCACTGCTAACTTTCTCATTCAGGGGGATGAGCAGGTTGTTTTATACCCTTCTGTGAAAATCGAGAAAAGAAGTCGAGCTCCTGTACAGAGAAGCAAAGATCACGGGACGATGTCTGCATTGCTGCCTTGTAGTGTGTGGCTCGTCACAAAGGTGAGCTGTCATCAAATATTTTCTAAGTCACATGTGCTTAGAGCTCAAACAAAGTATGTGTGAAGCGTGTGTAGGCAATTAAATAAAACAATGCAAAAAATGTACAATAAGCCTGATGAGAATGTTGTCTTGAAAACAGGACCGGCTCGTCCTATAGGCTAAGTAAGCGGTTGCTTAGGGTGCCTACTTGGGGGGGCGCCAGCAGTGGCTTTACTGCTTGTCTGGCTGCCCCCCTATCAAGTGGAATTGATTATATATAGTGGGCGCGGCAGCCGCCTGCCACGTTACCGGGCGCTAGGGAGCACTTACTTATAGACTAGCGCCTGGTAGAACGTCGGTCTGGCATTCACCACAGCCTGCTAAGTCAGGACCCCTCTCCTAGTCAAGCTCGTGGAAGCGCAAGGGCGTGTCATTCACTCGCTCCCGCCCCTTGCCCTGTACGTGGGGACAAGGGGGCGGGAGAATAACAGGAAATGGTGCTTGGGGAAAAAAGTGTCATCCACCGAGCGCAGTAAGAAGACAGGAATGAAGAACAAACTGCAATGAAGGTAAGAGAGCATGCACAGTGTGTTTCATAGAATGTGTGTCAGTATGTTTTAGTCAGTATGTGTGCGTATGTCAGTCTGCTTTGATCTGTTTGTGTATGTATGGGACTGTTGGTATGTGTGTATGTATAGGTGTGTATGAGTCTCTGTGTGTCTGCCTGGGTCAGTGTGTGTGTGTATGGGTCAGCATGGGTCAGTGTGTGTGTGTATGGGTCAGCATGTGTCTGCATGGGTCAGTGTGTGTGTGGATGGGTCAGCATGTGTCTGCATGGGTCAGTGTGTGTGTGTATGGGTCAGCATGTGTCTGCCTGGGTCAGTGTGTGTGTGTATGGGTCAGCATGTGTCTGCCTGGGTCAGCATGTGTCTGCATGGGTCAGTGTGTGTGTGGATTGGTCAGCATGTGTCTGCCTGGGTCAGTATGTGTGTGTATGGGTCAGCATGTGTGTCTGCCTGGGTCAGTGTGTGTGTGTGTGTGTATGGGTCAGCATGTGTCTGCCTGGGTCATTGTGTGTGTGTGTATGGGTCAGCATGTGTCTGCATGGGTCAGTGTGTGTGTATGGGTCAGCATGTGTCTGCATGGGGTCAGTGTGTGTGTGTATGGGTCAGCATGTGTCTGCATGGGTCAGTGTGTGTGTGTGTATGGGTCAGCATGTGTCTGCATGGGTCAGTGTGTGTGTGTATGAGTCTCTGTGTGTCTGCCTGGGTCAGTGTGTGTGTGTATGGGTCAGCATGTGTCTGCCTGGGTCAGTGTGTGTGTATGGGTCAGCATGTGTCTGCATGGGTCAGTGTGTGTGTGTGTATGGGTCAGCATGTGTCTGCATGGGTCAGCATGTGTCTGCATGGGTCAGTGTGTGTGTGTGTATGGGTCAGCATGTGTCTGCATGGGTCAGCATGTGTCTGCATGGGTCAGTGTGTATGTATAAACCAAAAAAAAAGGAAAAAAGTTACCTGCGCTCTTTCCACATCCCTATGTATTTTTAAACAAATTGAGTTTTTATGTTACCTCCAATGGCCATGAGAGGATATGCCAACCTGCCACATCAAGGCAGACCTCTTAGGTGGGTCCTAACACTAACCATTTGCCTTGCTTCCTTGAGCTTCTGGCAAAAATATCTCTAATGAGACCGATAGGGGTATTTTTTATATACATCCCTACATGCTTATTAACTCTTAATAGGGAAAACATGGAATGGGCAGCAGCATTGCAACCTAGCTGTGTGATACAAAAGTGAATACAAATACAAAGAAACTAGTCCTGCGCTCAAACTCCCATTACTCCTGGGCGGCAGCAATGACCATAGGAGTCATGGGAGTTTGAGCGCAGGACTAGTTTCTTTGTATTTGTATTCACTTTTGTATCCTATGGTCATTGCTGCCACCCAGGAGTAATGGAAGTTTGAGCACAGTGTGTATGTATGTATGGGTCTGTTTGTGTGTATGGGTCTTTGTGTGTATAGGTCAGCGTGTGCCTGCATGGGTCAGTGTGTATGTATGTATGGGTCTGTTTGTGTGTATGGGTCTGCGTGTGTATAGGTCAGCGTCTGCCTGCATGGGTCAGTGTGTATGTATGTATGGGTCTGTTTGTGTGTATAGGTCAGCGTGTGCCTGCATTGGTCAGTGTGTATGTATGTATGGGTCTGTTTGTGTGTATGGGTCTCTGTGTGTATAGGTCAGCGTCTGCCTGCATGGGTCAGTGTGTATGTATGTATGGGTCTGTTTGTGTGTATGGGTCTTTGTGTGTATAGGTCAGCGTGTGCCTGCATGGGTCAGTGTGTATGTATGTATGGGTCTGTTTGTGTGTATGGGTTTCTGTGTGTATAGGTCAGCGTCTGCCTGCATGGGTCAGTGTGTATGTATGTATGGGTCTGTTTGTGTGTATGGGTCTCTGTGTGTATAGGTCAGCGTCTGCCTGCATGGGTCAGTGTGTATGTATGTATGGGTCTGTTTGTGTGTATGGGTCTCTGTGTGTATAGGTCAGCGTGTGCCTGCATGGGTCAGTGTGTATGTATGTATGGGTCTGTTTGTATGTATGGGTCTCTGTGTGTAATAGTCAGCGTGTGTCTGTATGGGTCAGCATGTATGTGTATCAGTCAGTGTATGTAAATCTGCATTAGTGGGTAGAACGAATGGGGCGGCAACATTTTTTTTGCCTAGTGCGGCAAAAATCCTTGCACCGGCCCTGCTTGCAAATAAATGTTGTGAAATGTTCAGGCAATGCAATTATTGGCATATTATTGGATATTGAGAGAATATCCAACATGGGCTTTCTAGCACGGTTTGGGCTGACATTTCTAGAATTTTATTGTCTGTTATATTGTCTGTTAATCTGTCTGTCTAAATTAGGGCAGCCAAATAGGTCGATCCCCAAATGTTGTAGAATTAAAACTCCCATGATGCTTTGTCAATCTAAAGGCATCATGGGAGTTGTAGTTCTACAACATCTGGGGATCTACCCTGGCAGCCCTGGTCTAAATGATGTAATGAGGTCCGATTTGCAAATCCATAAATAAACACTCAAAGGCACAAAAATAGCTGTGAATGCAAACTGTGTATTTGTTTAAATATATACATACATTCACTAATGAGCCAAAATAATCTACTCAGTAAAATGTAATCGAAGTACAAAGTTGATTGTTAGCATTTTTCTTTTTTAGCTTTACATTTGTACCTACTTATAAGACTCTTATATAGAGGTAAATATTGTTTTCATAATTATCTGCAAGAAAGCCATAGTTTTACAATCTTTTTTGGTTCAATGATTTATTTCCCCCCAGCACTTACGTATTTGAAGGAAAATGAGGTGTTAGAAATACAACAAGTGACCCGTTATGTAACCTGAATCGTTACCCTGTGAAACACATACAGGGGAGAGCAGAACGGAAATATCAGAAGCCTTCTCTGAGATTCGGTGAACTGGAAAATTCTGCTCTGGTTATAAAAAGGGATCACTGACAATGAACAGAGATAGGCTGCTAAGTTGGGGATAGTATTTAACTTTCCAAGACTGTTAATATCTTGGTTTATTCAGCTATAATGACCTCTTTATTAGGAAAAAATGTTTCAATTTTGGTTATTTTAACATATTTAATGTCCCTCTTCTGTCTGCCAGGGTGGAATGATTCTGAGCAGAGCTATGCCACAGGTCTGCTTGGCTGTTGGGCACCCCATCAAACTAAGCACTGGAGATGGGACAATCTTACAGGGGTATCACTTATCACTCCAGAAAAGGTAGACAATTCTTCATAAACATCATTTAGTAAACACTGTACACGTCCTATATCTGAACAATAAATATAAAAATTAAAAGGTTTAAAATGAAGTGTAGTGCTACAATCACTACGTGTAGGTCCCCAACCACACTAAAATTCAGTGCATCAAAATTATGTATCCGAACAAACTCAGGTAAAATGTAGTTAACCTCAAGTAGTAGGTCAGTGGCTTTCTTAAAATGCCCTTTTATTCTTCAGAATTATTTTGGAACACAAATGCATGATCTTTTTTATTATTTTAAATGTTTTTCTTAAATTGGATGTCTCCAGAGTTCTATATCTGCAGAGTTCTATACAGTGCTATAAACCATTTGTTTACCAATTGCATGGGGATATGAACAGAACATACCTGATTGTGGGAAATTAGAAGATTAAGTAAAAATGTGCAGCTATCAGATTAGCAGACCTGTGATCGTACTTGACACCTTGCAAGGTTCCACCCAGGGTGTTCAGGTTTGGTAACTTTTTGCTGGATTTCTAAGTGAAACTGCTATTTCGAGGACAGCACCAGAATAGAAATCCTGCTGTTTTTTTTCAGAATACATTTATATGTCCCACACCCTCCTCATACGGTTAGGAATGTACAAAACAGACTTATCTTCTCACATTTAGTCATGTGCAGCTTCCCCGGGGGATGTTCCCAGAGTTTTATTTTTTCCAGAGTGTTTCTTTTCCTTTCTGGGGAGCTTTGTCTATTTTCGTTAGTGAGGATCTTCCATTCTACCTAGGACCATTAACATTGAATGTTCTGCAAGAAAGGGTATCTTGCAGATGTTCTGTTATGCCTATGATTCAAAGTCTATAACTACTTTCAATCGCCACCAATTTCAGGAGTTCCATTTCTTTTTTGCCAAGACTGTAAATAGTTGGTCCGTGAAACATTATTGTCAAAGTTATAATGATCTGTTTTCTTTCAGAGAAAAAAATAACTCCAGCCAATTATGGAACTTTGGAAACAAAGGCTCAATTTTTTCCAAGGTATGTGTATAGTAAAAGTCTTTTTTAAAATACTTTGTTATAGTAAGTGTTGGTCATTAGTGATGTCCCGAACGGTTCGCCGCGGACGGCTAACATATGACCCTGTACCTCACAGTCAGCAGACACATTCCAGCCAATCAGCAGCAGACCCTCCCACCTCCTGGATAGCTCACTAAGAATGCAGCTTCAAAATGGATGCTGTCCAGGAAGTGGCAGGGTCTGGGAGGGAGGGTCTGCTGCTGATTGGCTGGAATGTGTCTGCTGACTGTGAGGTACAGGGTCATATGTTAGCCGTCCACGGCGAACCGTTCGGGACATCACTATTGGTCATCTCAATTCAAGGAACAAATCAGTGTTATAAATAACCCCTTTAGATCACTTCAAGTCTTAAAATAACAAGTTAACGTACCTCTAATCTAGAGAGCGGTGAGGGATCCCTTGCCACAGCTCCGCTCTGCCACCTGGATATCACCATTACTGGTCAACCTAATGCTTGCCATTGTATTCATCCAGTTCAATGACTGAGATTGTCAACTGACGGCTTGCAGCCACTGAATACTGCCCAAACTTGATACGAGTTGGTCTATTAATGCAGAAGTATGAACTTCTATTTTATTTTTATTTTTTTGTAAACCTCTTTATTAAGCAATATAATAAGGTTACAATGTTGCGACATTACAATATTTAACCATAATACAGTAAACATGAAATATTACAAGTCAAAACCATTTACTCTATATGGAGTTTCGAACGTTGAAGCTGCTGTTTCCTTTTTTTTTTTTATTCCTTTTTTATATTGCTTTGTTTTGTTTTTGCATTGTTGTGTGTTTGTTTCTCAAAGCATAGTTTTGTTAATTGCGTAGGGTGTCTGAGTGTAACATTGAGACTCGCAGGTCTCCGCAATCAAAATATTTATACGGTTCAACAATATGCTGTGTGTACAGACTGAGGGGAAATCTAAATGTTTACTGGTAAGGCAGCTTGTTTAATTCCGGCTCGTAGGTCCAAGTTAGCATTGTTAGGTATGCGTTACCGAGCGGGTGTGGTGGTGAACATTGGACCATGTTCATTACTGGTAATATACTTAGCGGGGATTCACCTGTTTGTCTATCCTATGAGCGTGGTGAATAGTTGCTGTGTGTTGGTTAATAGTTTGCGTGGAAAATGCCCCTGTCTCTATTTCACCATCATGCTTGGTTATGGGTATTGTCATCAATCCTTGTGGCAGAGCCTGCGATTCGCGTGGGTTCCCATATGTGTTTTCCTCACTGCGTTATTGATGTATGTATCAGTAACAACGTAAGGTGAGTTTGGTGTGGGTTTAAGAGGTGCCGGGCCCATTGCTTTATATGCGCGTTGTCCCCTCCGTCTACACTTTTTGGTGATAGTATGTGTAACAAGGTATGACTCGTCTTTCCTGAGGGTTGGACTGCTTCTCGAATCACCTCAAGACTGGGTGTTTATCCTTTAGTTTTTTCGGAGGTTAGTGTATCTTTTGTGTGGTGATATATCTCCCTGATCTCGCCCCCACCTCCCGGGCCCCGGGAATCCGTCAGTCCCTTGGTGAGAGAGTTGGGTGGAAAGGGGGGGGCGGAATTGAGGCTTACAGGGGGGTGTACGGAGGGGGATGGGTTGTCTGGTGGGATCTGCGCCTGCTGTCGCCCTGTCGATGGGTTCGGGAGCGTCCTCTGCTTGCCTATAACAGGTGATGTATTGAAACCATGGGGGCCACATCTCCGTGTGTTTTGTTGCATGTCCCGTCAGGGAGGCGTGTATTTCTTCTGCTCCATGGATGTCTTCCACTCTGCGAATCCATTCTTTCTTAGTTGGAACTTCTATTTTATCAGACAAAATCAGACTGGAAGGACTTTGGGCACCAAACACAACATGGTACGTGTCAACCTGGTCATAAGAAGTTTAACAGATTAGTGGCAAGTGGCGCCTTGTGTCTCCCGGCACCTTAACCACTACAGTGCGTTATGAGGTCTGGAATATCCCTTTAAACTAACTTATCAGTAGTGCATCTTTCAAAAGGTGGCTTGGAGGCAATTTGTCAACCAGCCATTATGTTGACCAACTAGAGAAAGAAATGTAA